ACGTCAGCCAGATCCCCTTGTAACTCCTCCCAGTGCTATTCTCCTCAGACCATAATGATCTATCTGTTCCTTGGCACTGTTCACTCGCTCCCAAAGGGCCCTCACAACATCCAGCTTGTCATACATCAGTTCACCACCAAGTGTGAAAAACCAGCCAGTCTATCTGCCTGCTCATTTCCTAACACATCGGGATGATCTGGAGAAAATATCTAAAGGATGCTAACTACCGGGGACCTCTGAAGTGATGCTTGCCACACTGCATGGAGCATGCCTGTCTCCACCTTTTTCAGCATACTCTGTGAGTTAGTTACAATGACGACATGTGTGTTCAGCTTATTCTCAAGCCAGTGGAAGGCTGCAGTGACACCTCCATTCTTAAACTAGACTATCTGATATCATATACTAGGCTATGTTGCACCATGCGATGTCCATTGGCCATGAACCCCTATGCACTTTGTCTGCCCCTCAACACAGAACCATCTGTATATACAATCACATCACTTGGGCAGGAATTGTCGTGAATCATTTGTTAAAACTTTTGATTCTGCAGCACCCTTGCACTCATGTCCCAAAGTGATTAAAACCCCACAAATGTGAAACCTGATCTGACACTTTGACCCACTCCTGTCCTCACCTAAATTTATTAAGCCTGCACACATGTTCAATTGTGTCTTCAGCTAGCGCCATCCAAGACTTTCCTCTTTTTAGTCTATGACCCTTAGTTCTATCCAGGGCTTCATGCAGGAGGTGCCTCTTGTCCGCAGCTACTCTGAGATATGATTTTTCTTGCAGAACTTTTGGCCTATCTGCAATAGTAGGCAGTGCAAGTATAGATCGCATACACAGTACTGGGATATCTCTTGTACATCCCAGAATTACCCGCATGGCTTCATTCAGTATGCGTTCAAGTTTCATCAGCTGACTCTTTGATATGGTAGGCATGCCAAGTCCATAATCTCTAACCGACAGGATCACATGTTGGAACATTGTGATCAACATTCTTTGTTCCATATCCAGTGCTGCCATCATCTTGAGAGTATTGAGTTCTTTCTGGCATTCCACTGCCACTGCATCTAAATGATCCCTGAAAGACAGGCTTCTATCGAAAATAATACCCAAGTGCCTCAGTTTGCTTTATCTTTTTTCACTATATGTATGATGCTCCAATTGTGTTGAGTCCTTTTCTTCTTCTTATTATTATTATTCGCGTTCATCGCTGCAAACTCCAACCGAAAATTCTGTTTGTTTGTCAACTTCTGCACTTTAGTCTTGTTCCAGAACTTAAGTTTTGTATGCACATCCGTTTTACATATCTGGTATATTTGTAAGCAGACTGTTGGTTCCTCACCTCTCGGGCAGATGCACTCCAACTTAAAAGCATTCACGCCCAATTAGTCAACTTTTACAACATGCTTGTTAGGGGGGCAGTGGGTCTATTCTTTTCCCCCCAAAATATAGCCAAGGAACCCACATGTGGAAGTCCTTTCTTCTTCTTCAGCATTTGAAGCCCTTGAGGTTCATTGCTGAAGATATCACCCGCCTCCACTCATCTCTCTGGTTAGTCTTCCCTTTCCAGTTGGTGACACCAAGTGTTTGCAGGTCTGCCTGTAAAGTATTTCTCCATCATCTTCTTGGTCTGCCTCGTGGTCTACGACCATTCATCTCCCTTGTGTATACAGTTTTACTTCTCTTTTTTTTTTTTTTTAAAAGTCCTTAAAAAAAAACTATTGTTAATACATAATTCACTCCCAACATGAGCGCTAAAAATAATAAGTTTATTTACATTTCATATATAGGTACTGACTTATTACTTTCTTTCTGATATTCCCTCAGAGTAGTTTTTGCATTTCTTTAAATCAATTTTGAATCCCACTAGCTGGCTGATTTCTTCTTCCAGCAGTTTATGGAGGCCTTTGCCATCTCTGAGATAAACCCACTGACCGCAGTAATAGTCATAACGCTTTGGTCCACTGTAAAATAAACAGAAATAGATATTTTAAACATTAAACAATGAACAGAAAGAGAGATATTTACCTATATAAAAGAATGACCAAAATGTAGTTGCACATCCTTTACAACAATGGTTTTCAATCTTTTTTCAGGCGGTGCATCCCCCCCTCTCCCCCACTAAATTTATAGCAAGGACCCTCTGCGATAAAAAAATGGGATTGTAAAGGGAAGAAGAAAAAGAAAAACCCAAAGCACTATTAGCAAGAACATCCACATAAATCCCAGTGTCAGGTAACATAACGTCCTTCACTTTTTAAATTTACTTATAGTTGAAAGTCATGTGATGAGAAAAGGAGCACTGGAAAATACGGTGATGACTAGAAAGATCACTGGTGGAAGAGATAGAGGCAGGCCAAGAGAAATGATGGTGGATGGCTTGAGACAGTGGCATGGAGGAATACTATCAGTGGAATTGATCCAGAACAGCAAAGACCAAGATCTACAGAGATGCATGAATACTTACACCAGCCGGGAAAGCAATTGATGATGATTATAGTTTAAAGAAACATTTTATTTAGAATTGGACCACATTTTTTTTTTATATACAGATTACTACAAGTTGAGTTAAGCTGAGTCAAGAATTGACATCACAGCACTCAGGGAATTCCCAATTCCTCATTTTCAGCAGCCAGCACAGTTCCAACACTGATGGTACCAGTCAAAATCTAGTTTATTGTCCTTCTTGTCTTTCCTCTGAGTGCAGTGAGCCAGCCAAACCCTCTAGTTACACCCAGGTGCCTTTAGGCAAGATTACTACAAGTACAAATGCACTCAATTCCAAAACTGCTTGACGCTCCTTGAAGCTTTCTTCGCCCAGGCTGATTACCACAGCTTTACAAGTTGTCACGGCGACAATTAGATTTCCTGAAAGGGAATATGTTAGGCCAAATGGTGAAGATATTGTAGTCTGTTTATACAGCATAACTCAACATGCCAACCACCCTTTTAAGGGTGAATGCAGAAAAGTGAAAAAAATATGGCTAATTATGATACCACAACTTAGTAAACAAATATCCTCTACCTCAGTCTTCTTCTTTTGCCTTTCTAACCCTCAATGAATGACAGGCCCTTAACAAACTCACACCAAGTAATTCTATCCTTCGCTATCTCATGCAGCTTTCCCAATGTCCTCCCCATATTTTTAACTTTCCTCTCTAGCTCCCTTCTCCATGTGTTTTTTTTTCTTCTTCTGGTTTTCCCTTATTTCTCTGCCCCTGTGGTTCCAGAGCAAAGACATTCTAGTTATATTGTTCTCAGGTTTTCCCAACGTGTGTCCTATCCAATGGTAGTGTCTTTTATTTGTCTCTTGGTCCAATATCTTTAGCAATACAGTATAATTAAACTTTGCTACTTACCTGACAGGGGATGACAACCAGATCTGTTTATTGGGACTTTGTTTGTTTATCACATAAGTGCCTGCCGTATTTCCAATCTGCACAGTTAACACACCATTCTGTAGAAGAGATATGCTATAATAAATGGTAAAAGGTACTTATTAACACAGCCATTATAGTACCATATAAGACCATATAAAGGTCTTGGGTGGAAGTCTGAAAATTAGTCAACATTTTAAATAACTGATTTAGGCTCCTAAGTCTATCCAGCCTTATATATTTTCATAGAAATTGGAAGTAAAGGTGGGTGGCATGATGTTAATCACATTATCGGGAAAAGGTGAGGGGGGGGGGTGTGTATATACAATATAGGTCTAAGACGTATTATAAATGGTATAAAAAAATAAACGCATTTATATTGACAAACTTGGTCATTAAAATAATAAGTCATATGTCTAATGTGAAAGTGACATGAAAAGAGCCCTTTTCTTTACTTTAAAGCAGAGCAGTAAACAAAGTACACATCGCAACTGACCACCCTTTTAAGTTATAATAAAAATAAAATACACTGCAAGCTATACATTCTGAGGCTTTTTAAAAAAAAGATTAACATTAGTGAGTCATGCCTAAAATGGGTACCAGGTTATGTCCTAGGAGACAGATGTGTGGCCAGCACCTTGCTAGCCATAGTAACCTGCACACTTACCCGTACGTCCTTTTTAGGACGAAAATTTTTGTTCTTTGAAGCCCCACCCTGGCTTTTGCCAGGGGCCGCAATATAGGCAGGCCATAAATATGGCCAAGTGTCTGAACGCGGTTTCTGGGACCTCTCCACGGTGATCCTCTTCCGCATGGTGGCACTTTGTGTCATCGGGTGTTTATCGCTTGTTTGATGTCCTGGTGGGGTAGACAGTCAGACCATAGCAACCAAAGAGTGCTGATTTGTTTATAAAACTATGACTCAAGCTAATGATTCCAGTGCACGATCTGCCACAGGTATAAAGAGACCTTTTCATTTTTTTTAACTATATATTTTTAAGAGATGGGATTAGATATTTCTAATAAGATACTTTAGAAACAATATGGAATTCACATATATCAGTAATGAGCCATATGCGATAATGTAATTAATTCTCTTCTTCAGAACTTTCTAATTTCCTTAATCAAACCAAAGTAGAGCACACTACAACTGTAACCTCACTTCAACCTGGTCCCGAAAGTGAAGTCTCTAGGTAACAAAACTATATACAAACCCATCAACATTCTCATTGCATCAATCAACTATTTCAACATAAACAAATCCACTACAGCATTAGAAAGGTAATTAGCCACTAAATAAAACTGGAAAATCAATATCTTAGTACAGAAAACAATAACTACTTTGACAGAGATTATACACTTTTGTAAAATAGAAAACATATTAATATATTTAACAGAGAATACATTAAATATTTCAACAAACAGCACTGCACCTATTTCAAACCCCCAAAAACTCACTATTTCAACAAGGAATATAACACATTTCTGAACCAGATGATGCCATAAGTAGACAAACATTACCTAGACACATACGTAAATAATAAAACCGATGAACGCTATTGTACCAAAAATATAATGACAATTTAGCAGAAACACTGTTTTTGTAATTGATCTTACCCCATATGAACAATCATAATCTTCATTGCATGGCTGTGTATCAGGAAGATCTTCAAAATATTCTGTAAGGGAATCCAGGGTTTCTTCAACATGAGTCTCATACTCAATTTGTGTTATTTCACTTGGCCTACAATGAAAAACAATGATTAACTACAATAAAATTAACTCTTTCAGTACCAAGGAATGCAAGGACTGTTCCCTTTTCTCTCTGAGTAAACATGGAGAAAGTAGAATAAGTAACAAGTTTATCCTATCATGGACATTGTAGGCAACAATCAGTCCCTGGGGACCATGTGGTTGTACCGCTGATTTTGGGAACAGCGTCTGCTATGACTGTAAAATCCAATGCAGGAAAGTGGTAGTCTCTGCAATGTAGCCCACATATAAACAATGATAGTCTATCGTTCTAAGGCTGGTATTCTTTTAGACTTCTCCTCTCTACAGCTTGCTGCATTTGGCCTTTTTCAAACTGCAACAGTCTGTCAAAGGAGTAGGTCTGCAGCTGATCTCTCTCAAGTGTCCATGACAATGTTGATATTTTTCAGGTCGCCTTTGCATATGTCCTTATAGCATAGCTTTGGCCTTCCTGCATGTCTTATCCCCGTTACCAGTTCACCATACAGGAGATCCTTTGGAATGCGAACTGTCCTCTCTGTGAGAGACATGTCCCAACCAATTCAGGTGACTTTGCTTGATTAAGAAGTACTCTGCTGGCATTCATGCTTTTTTGAGGACACATTAACTGGGGACAAAGTCCTGCCATAACATACCATGAATGCTTCTCATTCAGCACATGTGGAAGGTAATCAATCTTTTTCTTGAGGAGCATAAGTCCAGGTTTCACTGCCGTAAAGGGGCGTGCTCAGGATGCAAGCTTCATAAATTTTAATCCTGGTCCTATCCATAAGCTTTTTGTTGTGAGTTTTGAAAAGCATTGCAGAAGCTTTTCCTATTCATCTGTTGATTTCTGCATCTAGGGAAAGACTGTTTGTGATCTGAGAACCTAGGTATTCAAACTCATATACAACCAACAGCTCATGGCATAAACGCTAATGCTTGGTGGGCTGACAAATAATGACTGAAGTGATATATATATATATATAAAAAAAGAAAATAGGATATGTCAAAACTATTTTCGAAAACATGAAAAATATTGGAAGATAACATTAAGAAATGGATGAACAGTCTGACTATCAGTGTGTACAAATAAGGTTAAAGACCAAGTGTGTCAGAGACTGCAATCAATCTTCACCAGGAAGATGGCACCTGACTGACTGCATTCACTGATATTCAGCATGTTATGTTTGTAATGCAAGGACTCCACGTACATTGTTGTTAAAGAACTAAGACAAATTATCTCAAAAATCAGCAGGAAACTGTCAACGTGTTTTGGGCAAATAATAATAAAATAAACACTGAGATATTTAATAATCCCTGCTTAAAAACCAACAAACAGGAATAAGAAACAGAACAGGAATAATAGAAGACTGTGAACCGTCTTGCATCATAACAGAGAAAGACAGCACATTAATGTATTTCAGCTTTCCGCTTGTCCCTTTAGAGATCAGCAGGAAGCAGTTCCAGAACTTTAATGACCAAACAAATAGGTACATTTTTCTTTATGTTAGACACCTTTAGGATCAGTTAGCATGACAGTATGGAAAAGCATGCATCATGGAATGGCTTCACCTGTCCGGTCCGACACTCGGGCGAGTGGGGCCAGTGGCAATGGACATTTGAACTTTTCTGCCAATCAGTAGGACTTTGGAAGGTCGGACATTTGAGACTGCTGGAGTCTCATAGGATGTGTACCAGCTCCAAGATCCTCTGTCAGCTCAGTTAATGAGTTAATGCTCATTTGAGCCATTATCCATGGCGCACTACGGGGATGTGTAGCAGAAGTCTTGCAAGAGGTTCCATAAAACCAGCACAGAGAAGGCTGGCACCCGAGGTGACGTATAGAGCATTTCCTTTATACACATCACAAATGGCCTAAACTTTTTCTGACACCTGTGATAGAAATCCCCACATCACTACCTCGTGCTCTATGTCCTTCTCCTCTTTTAGTGTATGCCTTGTATGGTCTGGCATCACAAGGCATTCTCTATAAGTGATCAAACCATTCAATCTGCTGCCTCCATATGTAATTTAGAATTGGGTCTGTGCTGACTTTTTCTCTTATACTATCATGACTGTTCTGTGCTGACTTTTTCTCTTATTCTATCATGACTGTTCTGTGCTGACTTTTTCTCTTATACTATCATGACTGTTCTGTGCTGACTTTTTCTCTTATTCTATCATGACTGTTCTGTGCTGACTTTTTCTCTTATACTATCATGACTGTTCTGGGCTGACTTCTTCTCTTATACTATCATGACTGTTCTGTGCTGACTTTTTCTCTTATAATATCATGACTGTTCTGTGCTGACTTTTTCTCTTATGACCTTATTCCTGATTTGATCTCTGGTCACTCCTGCAACTTTTCTCGGACATCTTATCTCCATGGTTATTAATTTACTTCTCTGGTTTGTTGTGAGTGACCATGTCTGGCATTGGCAGCATAGAGTGAGCATTAATATGCTTTACTTCCACCCTGTGTGGGTTCCAGGGCCCCATTGTGGGGAAAACAAGAATAGACCCACTGCCTCCCCAACAAGCATGTCGTAGGAGTCGACTAACTGTGGACTTCATTCAAAGTCAGAGTACATTTGCCCGAGTGGCAAGGAACATCCAAGTGTACAAAAATAAGCCAGTAAATCGGGTGTGAACGCAAAACTCAGGCCCTGGCAAAAGACAAAGGGACGAACAACCAGGACTTTCTGCTGGTGAACAAAGAAGAAGAAAGAGGATATGCTTAACTAATGAATTTAACATTGCCTAGTAGAATAACAAACAGCCAATAAATGATGTGGTTCATTTGTGACATCTTGTAAAAGATAAACAAATAACTATTTGAAAACTCAGTTTATCAACATCTCTCATACACATACATAATGGGACAGTTTGTAAACTCACTTCAATGCTGGAGTATCAGAGTTCATTAACAAACAGGACCCTTTTGAATGAAAGAACTTGGCTGAATACTGAGGTTTCCTATTCAAACAGCAACACTTGATAATCCCACCTGCTGTACATATATGCTTCCTTAAGGGTTGCTTCCATGTGTTTTGCTGCCATGATTGCAAAATGATATTATAGATTTGGCAACAACATTAACAAAATTTAATTACATTATTTGAAAGCCACAAATTTCATGCAGTAATAAACATATTTTAACCTATTCACTTTAGTTTCAAACAGACAGTACCCGCTGGAGAAATAGACTGATTATTTCAGTTTCAAACAGAACACTGTGTGAAGATTATTCAGATACTGTGTCCTGAGTGCTAGTACCTTTCTTCTGGAGTAAAAATATAACCCTCTAATTTTATACTTGTTTCTATAGCTTCAAACATAATGTGTGTGGGAACATGTTATATAATGATTATATATTATCTGTCATAGATTCAAGAGAAGCAGCTGACTGTATGGTTAAGAATGGTGAGCTCTCATGTGAAAGAGACCTAGGTTTGAATCCTTGGTTAGGTAATGTTAAGAATTTTTTTTTTCTGTCAGAGGCAAACTTTACAAGCAGACTAAGAAATGAATAAGATGTACAATGACATTTATTTTTTTCTAAATTGTCTGGCCTTAATTGTTGAAAAAGTACACTCACGTACGAGTGCCAGTAGAGTAGGGTACATCCTATTTAATCTGCATAAAACTGGGTAGAGATGGCAGACAACAAGGCCCGTTGGCGGTGCAGCTATCTACACTGACGGATCTCTCTTTTGCCATAGACAAAGTTCATGGGCTTTCACAGTTTTGACTCAAAAGAAAACTGTACAAGAGGACAGCAGTGCTTTTGCCTTGACTACAAGTAGTCTGACTATAGAGGTGATGACGGTAGCAATAGCAAGGATGTGGCTAGAGACACAACATTTTTCCCATGGATGCTTTTCAAGTGATTGTAAGAATTCTATGAGCATGCTTAAGAAGATAGACAGGGTGGATTAGAAGAAAATGGTTGAAGTCGCTAAGGAAATCTCATTGAAAAGGAATTAGTTTCATTTTTGTGCCAGGACACTCTGCGGTAGGTGTAAGAGGGAATAAACGAGAGGTCTGGCTTGCCAGCAGGGCCACAGGAGGCACAGAAAAAGCAATGGATGATGATGATGATTCAGGAGATGACGTTAATCGGCAACACACAAAAGACTACTATGAGGTTTGAACTTCATAGTCTTTTGATTTTATGAGGTTTGAACAATGGATCAACATTATGGCACAAAAGCTCCTTTCTACTTCTAACTCAAGTCTGAGTCCGGAGTCCGAAGTGTACTGGCTCCAGCAGCGCCTTAAGGCCACTCTTTCCGATTTCCAACTGCCAATAGATTTTTTACCTGCGCAACAGTACACACAGGCATCTGATTTTACTACAGAGAGACCAGGGAAAATTACTGGAAGTCCACTTGAAAAAAAAATCCCTGCCTTCACCGGGGCCTGAACCTGAAACCTATACTATCCTATAGTACTCAAGGCGGACACCATGCCTCGAGACTATGTAGCCCCACATCATATGATGCAGGTGCAAAAAAAAAAAAAAGTGGGCTATCTTTCAAACAACAGTCCTAAATTATCTACAGAAAATATACCCTAACAGGGCCTCAGTCACGTGTCAATTGCGCAGTTCCGTCATCGCCAAATTGCGAACTTTCTGCAACCTCCGCCGAGAGTACTCCCCACGCCGCTCATGCGGCGTGGATTGGGGCTAAACTAGATGGCTAGGACTCACGAGCAGCAGCTACGCCATTTCCTGCAGCTGCATTCGTTTTATTTGCTCACGAGTCCTAGCCATCTAGTTTAGTCCTAATCCACGCCGTGTGAGCGGCGTGGGAAGTACCTTCGGCGGTGGCGGAAGGCGCTGGAAGTTCGCAATTCGGCGGCACCGGTATAGTAGTATAGTCCCCGGAAGTACGCAATTGATACGTGACTGAGGCCTTGTTAGGGTATATTTTCGGCGTAGATAAATTTGGGCCCGTTATTCGAAAGATAGCCAAAAAGTGTCGCTAAACATACATTATATGATCACTATAGTTATACAGGCAGAAAAAAAGAAGATATATAAACATAACGAAAGAAGAATAGTAAAAGTAAACCAACACAGAACTGGTGAAATGTTCTCAGTCGCCACACGCTGAACTGAGGGTAATAGTAATATACTATACCGAAGATAGGATCACATCCCAGCATCGCTCAACTTGTGCGATGTGCAGCAGTGAGGATAAGAGATAAGATAAAGATAATTTGTCGACGAACTAACTACTCACATGAAAAGACGACTTTAGAATGGCAAGATGCAGTGGCGGCGTCCTTGAATTTAAGTGACTAAAAAGGCAACATAAAGAGCGCTTCAAACTAAAAGTGACATAAAAAGGCAAAGTCATTCTCTTCTTCTTGTGTTGTACAAGATTTCTAATTTTCGCTGTTATTAAATCTACACACACACACGCACACAGTGGAGCTCTTTTGTTATGATACTATTTCTATTTCTAATGGCTAGAGAACGCTTGAGAACTTAGTCTCTTAAGGAAAGTCAGGGCTAAAATGTGCTTTAACTGTTTTCTTTTCTTCATCTATGTAATAAATTATTTTTGGAGTGCTGTTTGTCTAAGGCACTCCAAGAAACTTTCGTAGCTGACTGACTAAATTACGTGAGAGAACACAAGAATTGAGTGAAGGTATACTCACCCGTCATACACAAAGACTGAAAGAGATAATATCAAATAAACGTCCACGGGCACAATATTCAAAACTCAGAGTACTGAAAAATATATTAGATTTTTATGAAAATGTTTACTGCTCAATTATCCATAGAAGGTTAGGAATATAAGATAACAGTTCAACTAAGGCAGGTGAATTAGTGTTTTTATTTTGCATTATGGAGAGAATTGCGTAGTGTCAACAACATAACTGCAATATTTATTCTTTTGGGCCGACACATCCTGCATCCTTAAGGCATTTGTGTATCTGGTTAGTCATTCCGGTTTATTTACAGTCTTAGAGAAGTGACCAGATGATCCGATCGACGCTCAACACTTTGGGAAGGGAAGAACATACACTGAGACTTTTACTGGTACCATCGGAATTGGAACTCTGCGCTTGCTGCTAAAAATGGGGGCCTCATTAACAGTCGTAATATAGTGAAAAATCATATCGGCGAGAATACTCAAAGGCTATAGAGCAAGAGCTGAACAACTATACACGTGGGAAGGCCACACTTAAAAAAAAAAAAAAAGACGAACAACAGTCTGAGGGAGCACACAACCAGGACAAGAGACAGCGTATTTTGGAGAAGCATTCCTAGACCTAGGCGTGATGTTTGTTTTAGTATCCAGAAGCCATGAGTTGCTGAATTTGAGGACTAAGCACTCAGGGCAATGGCCAGTGTGCAGTGACGTCGATTGTATAAACTGACATAATTTGATGTTTCATTTCTTCGATCGTTTAACTTAGCCATTAAGTTCTTCAGGAGTATTTCAATGGACATCCTGGCTTTAGAGGTATAGATGTATTGCTATCTGTTCCTGTCTTTCAGCGACGATTGTCGTTAAACGGCTGGTTCGAATCTAGGTGTGATTTCTATGGCTTTTTAGTTTCTATGATCTCTTTTGTGTCCTCTGTATCAGGGTTCTTCAACCTTTTTACACCTGCGGAACATGCAATTACAGGAAATTTTTCGCTGAAACTGACAGTTAATATAGAAGGAGAAGCTAATGAAGAGAGCATTTTATTTATTACATTATGATTACATGGATATTTTTAGTGGACCGATAAGAAACACCCGCAAATCGGAACCGGTCTGTGGACAACAGGTGGAAATTATTCCAGTGAACGGTGATTAACAAGCTTTATGAAACGGCTAAACGAGATGGGGAAGCAGAAAATATGCATAAAACACAGAGATCGACTTCTCGACGGGGCCTTTCTCAACATAAACTAACTACACAACAATAACAAATGGGTGTTATTGTTGTGTAGTTAGTTCATGTCGAGAAGGCGTCGGTCGAAAAGCCAATCTGTGTGTTTTGTGCGTTACTTTGTGCTTCCCCATCTAGTTAAGCTTTTTAGTCACAATTCACTGGAATAATTTCCTGGTATTAACTTGACTGCAATCGACCCTAACTGGACAACAGGTGGACAAAAACGGCTTTATATCTGACATAAATTATGATTGCCAAAAATCTTTGGGGTTATGTCTGACTGACCGACTTTCTACGCCACCAGGACATCACACAAGCGATTAACACCCGATGACACAGTGTGCCACCTTGTAGGTGAGGATCACCGTGGAGAGGTCTCAGAAACCGCGTTCAGCCTTAAGGCCATATTTATGGCCAGGCTATATTGCGGCCCCTGGCAAAAGCCAGAGTAGGGCTTCAAATAGCGAAAAATTTTATCCTAAAAAGGACGAGAAGTGAGATTCGATGGGGAAGGGGTCGGGGGCATGTGCTTTATGCTGATATAAGTTTAAGACTCCTGACCTTGACCCACTCTAGCAGCTGTAAACTGTAGCTTCGGACTGAGGCATCCAGCTTGGGATTTTAGCTCTTCTATCTCGTGCACCTTTCTTCATAAAGTGTTTGTTATGTCCTGGGCTTCTTCGTCGTCGTCCCTGCCTTTCTTACTTGGTACCATGCCCTCCGGTATTGTTCTTTCCAGTCCACTGTAGCGTTTGATTTGACCAATGTCTTTCACGCCATCTTCTAACATTTGGACACGTGGTAAATCCTTCATACGTCAACCAGTCGCAGAAGGCTAAGATTTCTTGAAGCTTCCGCGATTCGTCACCTGCACCCGGAACTCTGTATACAGAACGATATGCTTCTGACTTAACGCCTGTCCTGGTAAAACAGACAGTCATGCTTGATCGTTGTTGAATGTGTACTTCAGTTATAAAGGATTCACTTATCTGTTTTATTTATGTAATTGTTACTGTAGTATGCACCTGACGAGATACAGGGAAATATGCCAGGCAAAAAATTGTGCAATCTATTGTTTGTATCTTCTTTGTTCAACGCATTTCAGTTTTCAAGAAGAGATTATATTTACGAGCCAATTTATTTGATATACAAATAATTTAGGATTTCAGTATTATTTTTCTTCTTGGTTCTAGGTAATATATGTATATACTCTAACTACAGGTGTAACAAAGTCCAAAATTAATACAGATACATGTTTAACGGGAAGTAAACGGCAACAATAACAATCATCCCGAAACAGAAATCAACATTACACTGTGAAAACTTCATGCCTTGAATTCTGTGTAAATGGGAAGACTTACAGAAAATGTGGCTAAGAATAACTGAGAAAAGATCTCGTATTAGAATTTTGACATGGCGAGATGTCAGAATATATCTTATAAGTAGCACAATATAATTAAGTGGATTGTGAGATATGATAACCCCGTTTTTAATATTTAAAAATTCAGCGCAGCTATTGTATTTTTAAAGATAACTGAGCCATACATTGAGAATGGGATACTGGTCTATGTTTCATGATGGCTAATTGCTCGATTGTCTGTAATAATTATGCGAGCATGTTTATGTAGTAAATAATTCTTTGGTATATCCCCTTTGTGTTGCTTGAGAGATCTCAGAGCTGTACTGATTAGAATAACAAATTCATGAAGACTCAGTCACAGACATGACTATTAGATACATCATATCAGCGAAAACCTATCACAAAAACTAGAAAGAGGCAGTTATTTACCCCCCCCCCCCCCCCCCCCCTTTTTTTTCCAACGCTAAAAGAAGAAAGACAATTTAAAATATTGTTACAATTGGAAACATTTATGGAAAGAGATAGAGGACGACAAAATGAGAAGATTGTTTACAGTCTTTTGTCATGCCATGAAGGAAACGTCGGCACATCAATTAAAATATGATGCTAGAGATCACAAATTATGGAGGTGATCGCATTCGTCTGTGGAACAAGGCACTTGAAAATGATGATAATGACGACAGCTATGGTAAGCAAACATGTAAACTTTGTTTAGTAGTTTACAGAAACAATTTTAAAACCTAAAGTTAAAAAAAAAGAAATGAAAGGATAGGAATGTCTGAGAAAAATCAAACTTGTTTATTTGAGAATTTAGGCAGAGAGCTGAAAATGTCAAACGAGTTTCATGAAATCTATATTTAAAACATGTTTAAAATTAAGAAAAAATAAATTTTCTTATCAGTGACACGACACAACTAAATACATTATATTAAATACGTTTATGTTAACATTAAAATCAGAAAGATTTCGTCCTGTAGATAAGAACCTGGGTCGTAGACTATGACTCGAAGCCCACATCAGCGAGTAACAAGTGAAGAACCACTTTTCAGACGTATTGGGTATATAGGGATAGACCTTTATTTTACAGACCAACTGGTACTTGATGGGTGATATGGTAAGCACGACGCCGACCGCCTTTAATTCCCAGGACCTTTACTTGGTACCCATTTATGGGTGGGTCGACCTGGAAGCCAAAGTAATTTTTAAAAAAAGTCTAGCACCATCCGATTTTAAACTCATGTTCTTTAGATCTGCAGGTGAGTATCTTGCCGTTACGTCACTACAGCCCTACATCAGCGTGTACAGATATGGAAATACTTATGGACAGATTTCGGTCTTTGTAGACAATAAAGTTATATTCTGCCATAGGGTGGCATGAGAAACACAGCCCTTGGCAATGATGAGTGGGACTATCTTGACAAACTACTCCACAATAACTGCACGAGATTTCAGGACAGTGTTTGCCATCACGTCTATTTGACAGGTTTCTTCTGAAATTCTCAGCACTTAACTTGTCTGCTTCCCGTGGAGGTCCCAGACTTCGATAGTGCAGGTAAACAGGTATAGATCCACTGCCTCTCCAAAAAGCATGTCGTGAGAATTCTGGGCTTCCTTTGAAGTCAGATTGCATCTGCCGGAGATGCAAGGTAGGTAGGTAGGGAGGTAGGTAAGTTGTACCCCCCCCCCCCCCAGGACATCACACAAGCCATAAACACCCGATGACACAAAGTGCCACCATGTGGATGAGCATCACCCGTGGAGAGGTCCCAGAAACCGCGTTCAGGAATTAGGCCATATTTATGGCCAGACTCTATTGCGGTCCCTGGCAAGAGCCAGAGTGGGGCTTCCAAACAACGAAAAATTGCATCCCACAAGGAGATTATTGATAGGAAAAAAGAGGCAAGGAACCAACTTGCATATTAGAAAATCACTAAAGTCCAAAGGTGGATTAACAACCGCAACTCTCCACCGGAGTATACAGAAAAAGAATAAAACTTGTAAGCCTGTGCACGACCGGCTCCAGATGACGGGCCGTGCTGCTGACGTCACCGGGTCGGGCTAACGATGCGTTAACGCAGCATTTCTCAAACTGGGTGCTGAGGCA